CTTGGCCTACACAGCAGATGAGGGTCCCATGCCTGGGCACCCCATCCCCTGCCCCTTCCTTCCACTATCTAGCCCATCTCCAGCAAGTTCCACAAGAGAATAAATATGGCAAAAACTGTTCTCTGCAGTCATTTGGGTGGGTAGGCATTTTCCCACTAGTCTGAAGGGAGCCATAACCCTCCATCATGAAACAAGGAGAAGTGCCTTTACACCTGGCGGACAGGAATTATTATCCTTTCTGGACGAGTCTCAGCAGAGCCTCGCTTGGATTCTGCCTGTAATCACCAAATGTCCAGACTCCAAGCCTCACACAAGTCATAGCTGTCACTAATAATTTCTAAAGGTGTGAGAAACATTAAGAAAAATAGAGTTGCAGAAGGATCTTTGTTGTGCTGCCCACAGGTTTTCACAGTGTATTTTCCTTAGAATTAGCAACTTGATGGGATGTGAGTCACAGGCTGAGCCTAAAGGACTTCTAAGATAAGGCCATTCTGCTATTACTCACCAGAATTTCTAGGAGCACCCAGGTTATTTCAAATGCCAAGCACCTGGCCATTGTTCGCAGGGGCTCTTTGCCATATGCCTGAGGCCTCTGGATGAGTGTGTCCCTGTCTGTGTAGAACTGTCTGCCCTTTAGGAAAGGTGTGGACAGCAGGGGCTGGCAGAACTCAGTTGAGCCCCATAGGAGAGGCCATGTTGGGAGTGGGAAGTGGAAGTCCCTGAGCCTCAGGTCTTCCTATATGGGTATTTTAAAATAAACCTCCCCAAGTTTATCATTCACAACACTTTTGTTGTTGTTTCTTTCCAAGTTAAAGAAAACACTCCCACCTTCTACCCCAACCACACCTCACGAGGGTTTCCTTTACAGCAAAGCTAATGGTCTGCCAGGTGCAGTTATTAGAAGCACTGCAAGGTGGGAAGATAAATGTTTCCACTTAGGGGAAAAATGCGTCTCCATTACAAACCGGTTATGACAGTTCTCAGAGTTAAAGCCTCTACCATGGATGGTTTTTATCTGGCCTCCGAGAAAACATGGCGATGAGATGCAATGAGATCCTCTGGTTGTTTGGGGTGGGCCTGGCGCGAGCAGGTATCCTAATTGCATAAGGAACCCAGCAGCACACCAGCATGGGAGAACAGCGCAGGGATCCCGCAAATTTGGGCACTAGTGATACTGATAGCTCTTATTTGTTAACTGCCAGTGTGTTCCTGGGGTGCTTATTATGAGGTTTACATACATCTTCTAATCCTCACGACAACCAGAGGAGTTGGAAATTGTTTCTCTCCTTACATGGGAAAGCTAAGACCCCGAGAAGTTCAACAAGCTGCCTAATGCCCTGCAGCTATAAACCAGGGATTGGAACACCAATTTGGGTAACTCCATAGCCCACACCCCTACATACCACTCCATGCTGCCTCCTTTTGCTCATTAAGTAATTAAATGGGTGATCCATACAACACAGCAATTCTTTAGCACACCATGGGACCATTTGCCTCAGGGTTAATGCAATGGTTTGAACAGTCTTTTATCCCTCAGGCCAAGTGAGAAAAAGTGCTATTGATAAACTTGCATGCATGTATGAGGTCTCTTTCATGATGTGTCCTGTGCTTTGCAAGCAGTCTTGGCAATTTTCTGATCCTACAGTGGTCCTTGGGGACTTTTTTGGAGAACCTTCTAGAAGGAGAGCCCTGCAGCCCTGCATACCCCCTTTGTTTCTTTCATAATAATTGTACACATTTAAGGTATACGATACAGTGTTTTGAGATGCATACACATTGTGAAATGATTCTGCCGTCAAGCAAGTTAATATAACTCATCTCCTCACACAGATACCCTTTACTTAGGGACTGCGAGCACCTGAAATCTCGTCTCTTAGTGAATTCCCAGCAATACAGTATCATTAGCTATAGTCCCCACGCTGTACATTCAATCTGTAGGCTTGTTCATCCTTCACAACTGCTTTGTACTCTTTGACCAACATCTTCCCATTTCTTCCACCTTTCCGCCCCAGGTAACCACCATTCTACTCACTGTTTCTAGATACTCAACTTTTTTAGATCCCACATATGAGTGAGGTCATGCAGTATTTGTCTTTTTGTGTCTAGTGTATTTTACTTAGTATAATGTCCTCCAGGTTCATCCATGTTGTTGCAAATAGAGCAGGAGTTCCTTCTATTAAGGCTAATATTCCGTGGTATATTTTGTCCATATTTTTTTATCCATTCATCTGTCAATAGACACTTTGTATACCCTTGACCACAGTAAGGGCCTCCTGTCCCACAGAAGGTGCCTCTGTGAGCATGCAACAGCACCAGCGAGCACTCTTGGAAGTGCAGGGGAGGGGGCCCTCTGTAGCAGAGGAACCGGTCAGTCCTGGAGGCCACTGGAGTTCCCTTGCCTGTGTTCTTCCAAGCGCTGAGAAACAGCATGAAAGAGGGTCTCCAGGGAGGGAAGAGCCCTCACTGCTGCATCCCTGGGCCTCCCAGGACCCGCTACACGTTACAAGTACCTTTTTCTCTTCCTCTCTAGCTGTCTTTCTCTTTCCTTTCCTTCTGCTCTGTTTACTTCCTGGCGATGCTCCCAGAACACCACGCATGGAGATCGCAAATTTGAAAAGAGCCCTGCCCCATTTGTGGAAATTGAGATGCATGAGGGTTATGCCTTTGCCAGCCCAGGAAACACCTGGGGCAGGGCAGCAGAAAGCACCTGGGCCTCAATCAGAGCTTAAAGCTGTCTCTGCCAGTGTGCACCTGTGGGACCCACACAGTAGCCACCTGACAGCCACCATTTCCTGAGCACACCCTATGCCTGTCGGCCTCAATCCATCCCTGGACTTTCCCTGCACTGTGCCTCATCATAGCCAGGCTGCCTACTGCAGGCCCCATTTCCCAGGCCCACCTGACTCCCCACTAGTTTGTTCAGAAGGAGCCTGGAGGGCAGGCAGGTGGAGAAATATGAGTACTTCTGCCTCAGCTTCTGCCCTGGGACACCACCAGCAGTGGTTGAGTTTCCTCTGGCTCCAGCTCCCACAGAATAGACCTCAATGACTCCAGCTTCCAGTGGGAACCCCAGGAGCAGTAGTAGCTTTCTGCTCTTGCTAATCCGAGGGTGCCGCTGTGGGCTTCTCCACTTTTCCATCGCCCATGTAAGCCATTACATCGTTACATTCCATCTCTTTAGATATTCCGACCCTGGTTGTCCCTGACTGGCCACTTACAACTAGTCAGCTCTGAAGTAAGCCTTCACCAGCATTCCTCAGAATAGACCTCAGAGACTTCTGTTTTATAGCGAGGACCTAGAAGCTCAGAGATGAGAAGGGACTGGTTCAGGGTCACCCAGCTGGAGAGTAGTTCAACCAGACGTCAGACTGAATCCTGATTGGAGCAAGCCTGAGCTACTCACTCCTCCTGTTGCTTCTTTGAGTTTCCATTTCCCCAACAAGACCTACATGGCAGTGTTGTTTGCAGGATTAGAGAGCGTGTCTCTCACCCCCACTTCCACACACTTTGGGACGCCTCCATCAGGGTGGGCCCGCTCTGTGGGGGAGGGCCATCTTGTTCCTTGGCGGGTCCTGTGTGCTGCCAGTCAGTAGTTCCAGTGGCCAGGGTAGAGAGGGCACCTCTCCCTGCATACCCAGCCTGTGTGTGGTGGATGGTGCCTTGTGGGTCTACACTGGTCAGGTGTTGGGTTACCCCTAGAAAAGGGCCCAAAAGTCGACTGTCTTTTGAATAGGGGGGTGGGAGTCAGAGTTCTCAGTGGTTTCCACAGGTGTGGGTTTGAAGCTGGCACTGGTAGAGTTTGTGATTTGATTGTTTCTTTAAGAGTGTTTAAGTGGCTGTGCTGTTTACGTCTGAGTCTTCCAGGAAAGAGCTCTTTGTGAGATGAACAAGCACCAAGCTCCACTGAGGTCATCTTTCTGTTTACGGAAGTGAAATCATTCTTACCTTGCAATCCAGAATGTAATCTCCAGATAGGAAACTAAAAACAACTTTTTTCTTCTCTGAACATGAAAACCTTAAAACACCATCTTACTAGAATAAACCTCCATTTTACATTTTTAAAAAAACCAAGGCTTTATGAAGTAAAGGGTACTTTGGGTCACAGAGTATGTTTTTGGTGACAGAACCAACCCTAGAGCCTGAGCTCCTAACTCTCGTCACCCACTGGTCTGCTTGTACCTGTGAACAGGAGTCTGTGGCTTGGGTCTACAGGCAGAGCTAAAGACCTGCTCCATGTTTGTCACTGGGCCAAACCCCTGCGGGAACAGGTGAGGGACACTGCCCGTGATTTGAACCATCCCAGATGATTACTGTGGCCACAGAAATGGGCTTGGGATATCTGTGCCTTTTGGTGATAATTTTATTTATAAATAACTTAATTTTATGTACTAGGTCGGTGGTTCCCAACCTTTTTGACTGATTTTGTGGAAGACGATTTTTTCACAGACGGGGGTGGGGGACATTAGATACTCATAAGGAGAGTGCAACCTAGATCCCTCACATGCACAATTCACAATAGGACTTGCCTCCTATGGGAATCTAACACTGCTGCTGATCTGACTGAAGGCGAAGCTACACTCACCCGCCACTCACCTTCTGCTCTGAGGCCTAGTTCCTGACAGGCCACAGACCATTACCAGTCCACAGCCCAGGGTCCCCGGTACTAGGTTGTCTGGCACATAATAGCATGCATTATTAACAGAGTAACAGTACTATCTGTTAAATAGGCATACTCCTTTGCATTGTAAAATGAACCTCTCTTTTATGATGTACTTTACAATACCATGTCATAGCAACATGTGCTCAGAATATTCTATCAGGCTTCCATTTGACCTCATGTGAAAATGAGGGACCCGCTCTGGTACAACCCGGTATTCTGATGATTAATGTATAAGCACGTCTTTCAGTACCTGAGTACTCCGAGACCAGTCTGTGTCTTAAGGGCTCCAGGCAGGGTGAGCATGTGGTTCTGAAGTTCTTATTCTCCCCAACTGCCCAAGTATGTCCGCTACCTCCCATGGTGAGTCACGGAGATTTCGTCTGCCACCCGCGGCCTTGTGAGCGCTACAACCACGGAACTGTGGTGGAGTTTTACTGCAATCCTGGCTACAGCCTTACCAGCGATTACAAGTACATCACCTGCCAGTATGGAGAGTGGTTTCCTTCCTATCAAGTCTACTGCATCAAATCAGGTAAGATCGAAGGCCTCACCCTTGGAGGAGACTGACCCTCCCTGGCTCATCCGCCTACAGTGGGTGGCAGTTATGTCCTGAGCTGCTTCCCTGCCCACATGAAGCCTCAGGAACAGGGAATCGAAACATCATTGTGGGCAGATGGAGCTATGTTGGGCTCTCTGTTGGATGAGTCTAGGCCCTGTTTAGAGGGTTGGGAGTATTAATCTGCCTGTTCCCTGGTTAAAATGCTGACCCTCTAAACAGAATCCCTGGACACTAGCATCCATGGAATGACCTCCAGCCTCTGCACATTGTTTTCTCCAGCCTTGGCCCTTTCCACTGGCAAGGACACAGGCCCATGGGTGTGACTAGAATTATACACCTTGCCTTGAGACCCACACAATGCACAACCCCACCTTTCTCTTCCATTCAAGGACACATATCAGAATACAAATAATATTGTGGGTAACACCTGCTCTCACGCATAAAACTATTGGCCATTTGCAAGCTTTAGTGTTTCATAGTTAATGACATTGATGACAGATGACTTACAAACCAACTTTCCCACTGGCCTCAGTACACCTGTGTAGTGACGCAGGATGGAGACCGACGTACCAGCACACACCCCATGTCTCCTGCCTGCTCTCTCCAGCACTGTCCAAGCCATGGCTACTGCCCTGAGCAGTGGTGATGGCTGCATGTGTCTCTCCTGGACACAGTATGTGAGGGAAGCCCTTGTTAGCACCAGGCATCTGGAGGCATCTATGGTCCTGTGAGTCAGTGAGTGAAGAGAGTGTCTAAGAGGACAGACACCAAGCATGACAAGGAGTCTAAGAGACAGGGTGCCTGTGTCCAAAGGACAAGAATCTCTTCTGGAAGAGTCTCCTCTTGGTGCCCCTGATCTGGCAGAGAGTTGGCAGCCAGAGGTGGGGAAGTGTGAGAGCCATGGAGCCAGCATGTCCCCTTCATCCTCTGTTCCTTGCTTGAGCCTGCCCAACAGTATGTTCTAGGACACTCAGAACGGACCCTGCTTCCTGCTCCCCCATCCCTGGTCTCTTCAGAGCAACGTCTCCAGGCAAGAAGGATGCCCCGCTTCATTCTCAAGCAGCATTACATTAATGAGGTCTATGCCAGGCCCTTGCCCAGCGCCAGAACATGAACATGCAGGTCTATCTTCAGCCTGGCAGAGCCCACACTGGAGATGGGTTTTTAGCATTATGTGGATCCTGATGCAATTTACATGAACCACAGGGGTGCATGGTCTCTGCCAAACATAGGGGCTCAGCAGGCACACACTGTGTGTCTCTTGTGCCAGATGAATTCAGCAAGTGAACCCGTGGGGAGCTTCAGCACCCGTTACAACCTGGGGGCCTCACACATGGCTTTGTTCTCTCTCATGGCAGAGCAAACATGGCCCGGCACCCATGAGACCCTCCTGACTACGTGGAAGATAGTGGCATTCACAGCGACCAGCGTACTGCTGGTACTGCTACTTGTCATCCTGGCCCGGATGTTCCAGACCAAGTTCAAGGCTCACTTTCCCCCCAGGTCAGTTCCATGCCTTGGCATTTATGGCAACCCCAGGTTGGGCTCAGGGCAGCCAACCTCAACAGCAGAGAGAAAACATGATAAATGCAAAGTTGAGGCTTTAAGGGGGAATGGAGCAGAGCTAAAAACACTTTCTTGGGGTGTTTGGAGTATCTGGAATGCTCTGACTCTGGAGACAGACTTCACTTCCCTCCTTCCTCCTTGCCTCTCTCCCTCCAGTCTGTAGTGACCAAGTGTTATGGGCAGCTAGCATAGGGAGCCCAGAGTCAGGGCTGCAAACCATGCACTCCTCTCCCAGGGATGCCATTCCCACTGTGGCCCACCTGCATGTGGCCCTGGAGTTAGACACCACAGAACTCACAGTCCATAGGGAGGAGAAGACATCAACACAACTGAGTAGGATGCAAGGACACAAGGTCAAAGATGTGTGCCTCGGAATTGTCAGGAAGGACAAAGGACTCAGGGGTAGGGAAATCAGGAACCAACTGTGAGAATCTACCTTGAAGTCGAATCTGAACCTGCAGAGTGGGACATGCAGAGGGCAGTTCTCCATCCTTCTCGGCTGTACCTGTTAGCTTGGGCTGGTGTCTTCACCCTCACAGTTGACATCACCAAAGAGGGCTAAACACCACTACCCTCAGAACAAAGAAGACCACTCAGCACTACTCCTGGTAGATGGTCATTCCTGGAGGGAGAAGTGGTTTAGAAAGTCAAGGGAAAAGTTTATGAGCATTAAGAGGAGGAAGTGAGTGCAGCAGAATATCACAGAATACTGGCCACGGGCCTCTGACACAAGCTGTCTTTTTCTTGTTCTCTGTGGTCATGTCAGAATCTTTTCATTTTGTAACCAAATGCTTCAGAGAAGGGCATTTGTGTTTGCCCACAGGGACTGCCTAGCCCTTGTGGTCATGGGTACCACCCCCTGAAAAAGGGGATGCTGCACAGTGGAGGAGGACGCTCCCAGAATTAGTCACTTCTTTCTCTTCCCTCCAGAAAAATCCAGCGTGTTTCTCATACCTCCCAGCCATGTGAGGAGTGAGGGAAATGGGTGCTAGAGACAGCATCTACCCACTTTTTCCCTTAACCTCACACCCCCCAGGGAAGCCTTGCCTCACTGAACAATCTCCCCTGCCTGGCAGCAGGGGCCTCACATGGTCACAGCCTGACAGACACCCCCCTCTCCCCAGTCACAAAAGGTATGCTAGGTATGGGGGTCACCAGCATCCCTCCCCAGGCCCAGCAGTGTGTCATTGCCATCCCAGTCCCATAACCGATCCCTTGATGAGTGCCAGAACCTTCCTTCCTCTCCAACTTACCATCCACTCTCTGTCTTCGACATTATTATTTATTAATCAAGGGACCGTGTTCTACCATTGAGCAATTACAGTATCTAAAGAAGGGCTACGGATTACAAAGAGAAAGCTAAACTACACAGTGGTGATTTATAGTACATCAGAGTACTTTAAAATGGCCTGCAGACCTGTTTTTCTACATATGCTTGGAAGAGAAGTTTCCAGGATATCGACCACATAATAAGATGTTTTTTAAAAATGTTCTCAAAACTCTTTCACTTGATGTTCTTTAGCCCTTGAGTATTTCCATCTTATATTATTCTCAAGTTGTTTTGGAAAAGTTGGTCTCATCTATCCAAATAGATGACAAGATTTGCAAGGGCAAAGCCAAGAATAGATCAATTTTTGCTCCAGGTTCCACAAGTGCAGATCCTGCAGAGATGTTGGCAAGGAATATATGGTCCCATAGTTTGGGGGGATCGCCACCAGTCACAGGGATTAAGGCCTGGGTGTAGACTGTTAGTGTGAGAAATGATCTGGGCAGCATGGTGGTGAAGGGGATGATGTGAGTCAGGGAGGCCTGTGTGAGAAGAGGAGGCCAGGGCAAGACAGTGGAGGGGAAGGGAGTTTCAGTTGTCAAGGATGCAGCAATAGTGGCTGCTGTCAAGGGAAAGCAGTCTGACTCAGGGCACGCTCTCCCTTCCCTCTTGCCTGTCTTCTGGGAGTACATGGCCTTGGGCATCTCTGGCCCTTGCTGGGCCACCTTTAAGAGCTGCAAAAAAGGAACCTACCACCATAATCTCTAAGCCTTTGCATGATGCTCCAAAAAGCCAGTGGACTTGAGATTGCCCTTCAAGCGTTAGAGAGAGGCATGGCCTGATGCTTCCCCTCCACCTCCAGACATTATGTCTCTTTGGGTTTTGAAGCCCCTGCCACGGGCACTCAGAGATTCAGGTCTGCCTCCCAGCTGGGTCATCTTTTCTTCCTGATAATTTACCTTCTCACTGAACACCTGTTCCTAGCAGAGGACATAAGAAACCACTTTCTACTGGCTACTTGTTAGCCGCTTTGGATTCCTCTTGGTGGCCAGGAGCAGAGTGTGGTGGTCAGAGAGAGCTCAGGCTATGGTGTCAGATATCCCCTGGACTCAAATCAGGCAGCACTGAATGTGCAGCGGGCTGAGATGCAATGGACCAGACCAGATGCTTCATGTGTGCCATGCAAGGGAGTGCCTGCAGAAATACAGACTGACCTCTCAGTGGCTCCCAGATCCCTCACACCAGGCAGCTTAGACCTTGCTTAGATTGAGTGGCTGGTGGGTCGGGAGGTTGCAGTGAGCCTGTGTGACTTAAATGGGGTATTGAGATGGTGCTCATAGCTTTCCTCTTTTCTTTTCTGATATTGTTTCTCTATCTTGGTTAAAAATGAGTGATTTTTATACTATACCAGAAAACAAAAAAGAAACATGACAAGTCCAGGGCTAGCTGTTCCCTGTGGATACTCAGGGTTCACAATTTCCTATCCTTTTTTTTTTTTTTTTTTAGACAGGGTCTCACTCTGTCATTCAGGCTGGAGTGCAGGAGCATCATTATAGCTCACTGTAACTTTGAATTCCTGGGTTTAAGTCATCCTCCTGCCTCAGCCTCTCACATAGCTGGGATTGCAGGTTCATGCCATCATGCCTGCTATAATCTTCTGTAGAGATGAGTCTCTTTATAATCTTCTGTAGAGATGAGTCTCTCTATGTTGCCCAGGCTGGTCTCGAACCTCTGGCCTCAAGCAATCCTCCTGCCTTGGTCTCCCAAAATGCTCCTGCCTTGGCCTCCCAAAGTGCTGGGATTACAGGCATGAGCCACTGAGGCTGACCTAATTTCCTATTCTGCTTTCAGCAGCTGTCCCTTAGGACACTGCAGAGGTGCACTGGGATGCTCCATCGGAATGGGTCACGTAGTTCCCTGCTCCATGAGTTTATGGCCATAAGGCCAAGCCCGCAGGTCAAAAGAGGGAAGAAGGACTGGGTGCAGTGGCTCATGCCTGTAACCCCAGCACTTTGGGAGGCAGAGGCAAGAGGACTACCTGAGCCCAGGGGTTTGAGACCAGCCTGGGCAACTTGGCGAGATCTCATCTCTACAATAAATAAAAAAATTAGCCGGACATGGTGGCACGCACATGTAGTTCTAGCTACTTGGAAGGCTGAGGTGGAAGGATCACCTGAGCCCAGCAGGTCATGTGGTGGTCTATGGTGGCCATGAGTGTGCCACTGCACTCCAGCATGGGTGACAGAGTGAGACTCCAACTCCAAAAAAAAAAAAAAAAAAAGAGGGAAGAAGGAATGGTGAGGAGATAGTAGGGCCCAGAAGCAAGAGGGCATGGGAGAGTGAGGAAAAGAAAAGCTTCTCTCTCCAGAACATGGCCAGGCAAACAACACCATCTACCAGAGGAGACTCAGAAAGGGGGCTGGTTCTTCTGCACCACCACTCACTTCTTGGGCACTGAAGACCTCCGCTGCATTGGGGAGCATTGGTAGCCTCACTCCTGGGGTGTTGTGGCTTTGTCATGTGGACTTCTCTTTCCTTTGCACAGGGGGCCTCCCAGGAGCTCCAGCAGTGACCCTGATTTTGTGGTGGTGGATGGTGTGCCTGTCATGCTCCCATCTTACGACGAGGCTGTGAGTGGTGGCTTGAGTGCCTTAGGCCCCGGGTACCTGGCCTCCGTGGGCCAGGGCTGCCCCTTACCCGTGGACGACCAGAGCCCCCCAGCATACCCCGGTTCAGGAGACACAGACACAGGTCCAGGGGAGTCAGAAACCTGTGACAGCATCTCAGGCTCTTCCGACCTGCTCCAGAGTCTGTATTCACCTCCCACATGTCAAGAAGGTATCCGTCCTGCTTCCGACAACCCGGACACAATTGCCAGTGTGGCAGGGGACGTGGCATCCACCAGCCCGGGCATCGACATTGCAGATGGTAAGTGTTTGCCCTGAGGCCTAAGCCTCGTCTGCAGACACCTCCTCATCGGCTTCTTCAAACAAGCTTCTTGCTGCAGTCCCCAGGTCCCCAGCACAGAGCTGAATCAATCTGCTCACCTCTCACTCAGCTGAAATTGCTTCTTACTCCCTCTACATGTAGAGGCAGTGGGCAAGGCCAATTATTGTAAGGAATGATCATCATCTTGCAAGTAATGAGCCTATTAATGGAAATTTCAGGAGGCACAAAAAGGCACTGAGCCATCCGGAGTAGAAATGCAGCGGTGGCCAGTACTTTGTTTTTGTAGCATCATATAATTCAGGGTGTTTTTTTTCTTTATCCCTTAAACTGGGTAAGGCTGCTGAAACCACTTTCAGGCTTAGGAACACTGTAGCCCATGCATGCCAGGAAGAAGGCTTCCGTTGCATGCACTATGGCCCAGTTCTGTGTACATGGAAGCTATTTTTTTTTTTTTTGAGTTGGAGTCTCACTCGGTCGCCCAGACTAGAGTGCAGTGGCCACTCCCGGCCACCGCAGCCTCACCTGCTGGGCTCCGGCGATCCTTCCGCCTCAGCCTTCTGAGTAGCCGGAATTACAGGCATGCGCTACCACGCCCGACTGATTTTTTGATTTATTGTAGAGATGAGGTCTCGCTGCCCAGGTGGGTCTCGAACCCGCAGGCTCAGGCAATCCACTCACCTCAGCCTCCCAAAGATGCAGGATTACAGGCTGAGCCACTGAGCCCGGCCATGGAAGCTATTTTTACCAGATCTGAAGTAAAAGATGCATGTGTACCTCTCACAAGAAAAGGCAGATTGTCACTCATGGTAATGCAGGAAAGATGTGTCAGATGGATGAGGACTCTGTTTCCTAGGGCAGGGGAGTCCAGCACAGGTGTACAGGCGAGAGCATTAATTAGAGCGTATATTGGTAGTCAGAAGCAGTAACAACATGGAAACAGAGATCTCCTGGGTCACCACCAAGTTCCTTTTCTGCAAACCATACTGCCTCTCTGTATTTGAAGTTGTAACTTGATTAGCTTGTATGACCATTAGGGCCCGTGGTTAAAAATCTCACATTTTTAAAGAACTGGAAATAAGATCATAATTGTTTTACAACAAATAGATGTTGTATGGGGAAGTTGGTTTATTTGATTATTAACTGGTATGTGGAATGTAACATTTTTCTTCTCCTCCTCACTGATTCCAAGAATCGTAGATATGTTAATGCAGTTCACAATTCCAGATTATTGTGTTTTCTGGTTGTACTAAGGTAGTAACCAACTCTAATTTTGCAGAGATTCCTCTAATGGAAGAAGAACCCTAACCAGGTGAAATCCTGATGATTCTAGTGCTTCTTTGGGGAAAAGGACCTTGTACCTTGGAGTGAGGCCACAGAAGAACAGAGCTTGGGGGCAAAATTTCTAATTTCTAATTTACGCTGAGGATAGCGATTCACATCGTACATCTCGGACTCAACAGTGAGGCAGCAAACTACAGTGGCAGTGCTTTTAAATGAGACTTGAGGATTTGCCAAGACCTATGGGGAACCAAGGGTAGTGGGGAAACCCCTCGCAGTCCCAGATGGAGGTGTTAAGTGCATCTTGTGCTGTGGAACTTGGGACAATCAATGCACATCTCACCAAATCACACGTCCCGCTGATTTACGAGTACTTCCTGCCCCCTTTGAAAGCATGTCACATTATGTAAATTTGCTTCTAAAATCTGCTTCAAACCGTCTCTGGGCTCCAAATTCGGATAGGTCAGCCTCCATGGAAAGTCTGTGTTCAGATGCTGGAAGAACAGCAGAGCCTCCCGCACCCTCAGTGAGGGGTCTGGCGCCCAAAGGAAAGGTCCTCATGTGTCATTTGGAAATCTTCCTTCATCCAGACAGCTCTACTGGAAGCAGGATGTGGCAGATCCGGTGAGAAAGGAAAGGAAAGACAAGCAGGCTCTGCTTTCTGGAAATTTCTTCAAAAAGTAGAGTTCGTGTACTCTGTGCTGTCCTCTGGTGACATATCGTCAGTATTTGTATTCATGGTATAGCACATGAACCCATGGCATTGGATAAATCTGTGATTTTACATATGGTCAGAATGTGTTCAGATACATCTCATGGTGGAGACAGTAACCGAGGTAATATTTTGTTTCAGCATTTTAAAAACATTCCACTCAGCAATTTATCTCAGAATCATGAGTCCCTCTCCAGTTAACTATTACCATTGTTGCCCCCACCCCTCAATGCGATCACGTTTTTATTTTCCAAAACAGAAATTGCTTCTGTAAACATCTTCCACCTCCAAAGGAAGTGTGAAGTTGAATTCTTCCCCCTTTTATTTTGTCCTGCAAAACCAGGAGGCTGGCCTCCCAGCCCAGACCGCTCAGCCACCTGGCCTACCTGCCTTTCCCTCAGTCCTCCTGCGAGGGTCTCATGGCAGCCATGGGGTGTTGTTCCTAAGAAATGGATTGATAAAGAAGTTTCTCGAATTGTCCTGAAGTGACTCTTCAAAGACATGTTGACCTGTGGAGTTGATTCCTTTCCTCCTCTGGGTTTTAGACAAATATAAACAAAACCCGATCCATAAAATTGCTATGCTGATAGAGCCTTGAGGGCTGGGAGCTTGATCAAGTCCTGTTTTCTCTTGACACAGACTGATTAAAAATTAAAAAGAAAATGACAGCTTGAAGCGTGACTTTAATAGTGGAGTGGAGGTGGGTGGGCAGTGGTGGGTGGTGACAGTGATCGTGGGAGGTGGGATACAATGTCAGATGAAGAAGGTAAAGTGAAAGGAGACAAACCCGGCCAGTGCCCGCCTGGCCCTGAGCCTGACACAGAGTCTACCCTTGGCGGTGGTGGCACCAGCAGTAGCATTGGTGCTGGGTGTGTGGGTTACTGGACTTGGTGATTACAGCTTCCTTTAGCGAGGGCCTCATCCCACTATCACAGCCCTGCACCACCAGCCCTGTTCAGAGGAGGTGGTTTCCACAAGAGTGTATGGTTCAGTGTCACTGAGGCAGGCAGCATGGGCTGGGTGGGTATGAAGGAAAACGGGGCTCACAGTGGGCACCTCCACCAGGCAGTCCTGTCCTTTTCCTTTGCCCCCTAAATATAGGTCCCATCTCAGCGACTACCAGATATGTGCCTTGTTTTTTTTTTCTTTTTTTTTTTTTGAGTTGGAGTCTCACTCTGTTGCCCAGACTGGAGTGCAGTGGCCGCTCCTGGCCACCGCAGCCTCGATCTGCTGGGCTCTGGCGATCCTTCCACCTCAGCCTTCCAAGGAGCTGGAACTACAGGCATGCGCTACCAGGCCCGGCTGATTTTTTATTTATTGTAGAGATGAGGTCTTGCCAAGTTGCCCAGGCGAGTCTCGAACCCACGGGCTCAGTCAGTCCACTCACCTCAGCCTCCCCAAGCGAGGGATTACAAGCTGAGCCACCGAGCCCGGCTTGTGCCTTGTTTTCTACCAGGCAGGTTGGCAAAGGCATGAGGGGCTGTCCCTGGAGGTCTAACCTTGACTCCTCCCAGGAAATGTTCTGCCTCCCACAGTAGACAGCAGCAGTGTGCAGCCACCTCACATGCAGACCAAGTACAGGGACACCACTCCAGCCTCCAGCGCCTGAGGAGACAGGTACCACAGTGTCTTAGCCCATTTGTGTTGCTATAAAGGCATACCTCAGGCTGGGTAATTTATAAAGAAAAGGGGTTTGTTTGCCACCTGGTTCTGCAGGCTGTCCAAGATACAGCTGCATGGCACCGTATCTACATCTGGTGACAACTTTGGGCTGTTTCCACTCATAGTGGAATGCTAAGGGGAGCTGGCATGTTCAGAGATCCCATGGTAAGAGGAGACCAGAGAGGGGAGGGAGGTTTTATCAACCAGCTTTTGCAGAGACAAATAGAGTGAGTACTCATTCATTACTGAGAGGCCAAGTCATTCATGAGGGATCTGCCCCATGACTCAAACTGCACCCCTCCCCCACCTAGCCCCACTTCCAACACTGGGGATCATGTTTCAACATGAGATTTAGAGGGGGTCAAACAAACCAAACTCTAGCATTCTGCCCCTGGGCCCCCAAATCTCATGTCCTTCTCACATTGCAAAATGCAATCATTCTATTCCCAAAGTCTCAACTGGTTCCAACATCAGTTTACAAGTCCAGCAGTCTCATCTGAGACTCAAGCCAAGTTCCTTATAACCATAAACCTGTAAAGTCAGAATCAACATATTCACTTCTAAGATACATGGGTTGCATTGAGTAAACATTCCTATTCCAAAAGAGAGAAATCAGCCAAAAGAAAGGAATAGCAGGACCCCCTGAAACCTAACAGGACAGACATTAAATCATAAAGCTCCAAAATAGTCTCCTTTGTCTCCATCTCCAGCATACTGAACACAGAGATGTGAGGAATGAACTCCCAAGGCCCCAGGCCTTTGGTTTTGCTGGGTGCATCTCCTATGGCTGGTCTCACAGGTTGGAGTCTGGTGGCAGCTTCTTCAGGTTGAGGTTGCACTTTGCTGGTGGCTCTGTAATTCCGGGGTCCCCGTGGCAGGCCTGTTCCCATAGCTCCATTGGGCACTGCCCTAATACAGTCTGCCTGGACACCCAGGCTTTCAAATACATCTTCTGAAATCACCTAAAGACTGCCAAGACTCCACCACTCTTGGATTCTGTACATCTGCAGACTCAACACCACATGGACACCACCAAGTCTTGCCACCTCCACCACTGGAGTGACAGCCCAAGCAGTACCTGGGGCCATTTCAGCCCTGGCTAGAGCCATGGTAACATCCAAGATGGCAAAAGGCAGTGGCAGCCCAGGCCCAGCCCCTGAAGTCATTGTCCTCCTCGGTCTCTGGGTCTGTGATGGGAAGGTGACCACAAAAATTTCCGAAATGTCTTTGAAGCCTCTACCCATTGACTTGATTATTAGCACCTGGCTCCTTTTTATCCCTGCTAATATCTCTAGCAAATAGTGAATCTGAAGAACCCTTGGATTCCTCTCCTGAAAATGCTCTTTCCTTTCTATCACACGGCCAGGCTGCAAATATTTTACTCTGCTTCATTTTTTTTTTTTTTTTTTTTGAGTTGGAGTCTCACTCTGTTGCCCAGACAGGAGTGCAGTGACCGCTCCCGGCCACCGCAGCCTCGACCTGCTGGGCTCTGGCGATTCTTCCACCTCAGCCTTCCAAGTAGCCGGAATTACAGGCATGTGCTACCACGCCCAGCTGATTTTTTGATTTATTGTAGAGATGCGGTCTCGTTGCCCAGGCAGGTCTCGAACCCGCGGGCTCAGGCAATCCACTCACCTCAGTCTCCCAGAGGCACGGGATTACAGGCTGAGCCACCGAGCCCGGCTACTCTGCTTCATTTTTAATTATGAATTCCAGCTTTTGACTATTATTTTGCTCTCATGCCTGGCCATAAGCTATTAAAAGCAGCCACGCCACTTCTTGAATGTTTTGCTGCTTAGAAATTTCTTCTGCCAGATACCCTAGGTTACCAGTCTTAAATTCAGCCTTCCACAAATCCCTTGGTCATGGACACAGTTTGGCCAAGGTTTTTGCCAGATTATAACATGGATGACCTTTTCTCCAGCTCCCAATAAGTTCTTCGTTTCCATCTGAGACCTCGTCAGCCCGGCCTTTGCAGTCTATATTTCTGATTTTGGTCACAACCACTTAACCAGTCTCTGAGAAGTTCTGAACTTTCCCTTATCATCCTGTCTTCTTCTAAACCCTCCAAACACTTCCAACCTCTGTCCATTACCTGGTTCCAAAGTTGCTTTCCACATTGCTTTGTAGCAATTTCCCAGTCATGGTACCAATATTCTCCCTTCATCCATGTGTGTTGCTATAAAAAGATATCTGAGGCTGGGTAATTTATTTTTTAAAAAGAAGTTTATTTGTCTCACAGTTCTGCAGGCTATACAAGAAGCATGGCACCAGCATCTGCATCTGGTGAGAGCCTCAAGAGTTGCTTCCACTCATAGTAGAAGGCAAAAGGGAACCAATATGCAGGGATTACATGGTACGAGAGGAGGCAAGAGAGGGCAGGGAGGTGCCAGACTGTTTTAAACAACCAGCTCTCATAGGAACTAACTCACTCATTGCTATGAGGACAGCATCAAACCATTAATGGGGGATCCACCTCGACGACCCAAACACCTCCCACTAGATTCTGCCTCCAACATTGGGGATCACGTTTCAACATGAAATTTGGAGAGGATAAAAATTCAAACTATAGCACACAAGTACCACATACATCCAAGTATCTGTGTCTACATTGTTGTAAGAAGAGAGACTGGTAGGAAGGCGGGGGCTGCTTAATAGCAACATCAAACTGTGTCTGACCAAGTCACTGAGACCCTCCCCTACTTTGTGGCCACATCAGAATCTCACCCACAGATGTTGTTTGTGGTGATCTTTTTTCATGACAGTGAACTTATGTGGCAGGAAAGAATCATCATGATATTCCAAGTATGCCGTGACTCTGATTTTCTTCTTTTAAAAAGCCCCAGAAGCCCTCTGGATATGACTCAACAGAATCAACCTCTCTCACACCAGCTTAGGAATAGGGAGGTGCAAGAACAGATCGGGCTGTATAGTGTAGCAGTGCCCTAGCACTGTGCTGTGTGATAACCATGCCCAACACAGTGCCATCTACTTTGGGAGACAGATGTCCCTAGCGCTTGCAGTAATCAAGGGTGTTCCATTGAGTCAGCCTGAAGTGTACACCTAAGTGTCTGTTCCAAGGAACGGCGGAACAGTGGTTTCCTAGCTGACTTACTCCCCGTCATAAGCACAGCAGAAGTCACAAGCGCCTTCACACTTCACTTCCGTGTAGCTTTGTTTAATTGTAAGGTTGTGATTTGCTGGTGTGGAATCTTTAGCGCCTCTCCCACATAATTACACCCGGCCTAGCAACTGGCATGCAGACAAAGCTGCCTCCTATTCCTGCCCCTGGTCACACAGCAGGCCCAGAACTGTCAAGTGCAAAGACGCGTAGGCTGCAGCCTACCAGGTCCAGGTGCTTCTCCCACTTCTTTGCTCCCTCCCTCCATACCCAGCAGACAGTTCCCCTCCCTAATACTGTCCCAGTCTGTAGGCATCCCCTGCAGAAGCAGCACAATATCATTAGAGAGTGTGGGCTGTAGAATGGGCACATCACGTGGCTTCAGACCTGCCTCTGCCACTAACTGGTTGTGTATCTCAATGTCTTCATGAAGAAATTAGAGATGATCTACCTCTACCTTCCTCACTGGGCTGTGGTGAGGGTGACAGCTAATATAAGTGGGCATTTGCTAAGTGGCAGCTGCCACCCAGTGTGATGGGGGGTGATTAACGGCACATGCATACCCAGGCCCTGTGACCTGTGTTGGTCCCTTCCTTCTCGAATGTGTTTGCAAGCGAAACTTGTCTGGATCTCCCCAAAGTCCATGGACTGAAATGTGCTACCCCTGTTCCCCTCAGATCCCATCCCTGGCTTCTGTACCCTATGCTTTCCATTTACAAAGGGAAACTTTCAACTCTTTGGCCTGCTGGGCATTTGCCCTCCTTCCCAGCACAGCCCTTCTCTGAATGCTACAGAAAGTCCTGCTCAGGGAGGACAGGACAACCTCAGAAATTCCCTCAAGGACTCTGAAGGACTCAAACCTTCTCCACAGGCAGCCCTGTAGAT